GATATCCTTGGTGCTTGCAAGGATCTGCAACCATATTCAGCAGCCATTTAAGTGATGGAACCCTACTTACCCTCAGCATCGGAGATATCATTGTCCTCCATGTATGTGATCTCCTCAGTGAAGTCATCACAGTTGACATCAGTATCCTGCCTGTCGACAAACACTCGGTTCCTGTCAAGCTCCTCATTCTCCTCAAAAGTGTTGCCCATGTCATCATCTTGATCCTCAGAGGTAGTACATGCAGTGTGCATTTGTTGAAGCTGAATGAGAGCATTGGCATGAGCTGCCATCAGTCTTCACTGCACTGTTGGAGGCTTGCCATCAATCAGTACACATTGGAGTTGAGATAGTGACACTTAAGACACTCTCAGATTGAGCCATCATATTTTTGTTGGATATGCGTGCTTGATTAGAATTAATAAAGCCAGAATCCTGCAAATCATACCCATCAGCATCTATCCAAGGTAGGCATTGGGTGGTCATACCTTTGTAAGAACATCTTCTCGCCATCCACTGTCAATGGGTTGGCATGACACAGGTGTAGGTAGCTAAGTAATTTAGTTGATCAGCCACCCATACAATATGAAAAAATGAGCTTGCCTGTGTGGAACCTTGCTGTCGTGGTGTTCGCTTTTCTGGTGGAGGGACCTTACTCAAACATGGTCTTAAATTGAGTCAGACAGCAGGCGATGCTTTTGACAATGAGACATTGTGTGAAGAAAACTGCAATAGATGTTCAGATTTGGATTTGCTTGTGTAAACAACATACCTGGGTCCTATTGTGTGGAGATACTCTCTTGCGGGTCAGCTTACTTTTAACTTGATTGCCTTGGTGACGATCTTCATGGCCTTGGGCTTCCTCAACTGGTGAATGACATTGTATCATGAGGTGATGAAGATAGTATCAGGGGACATACCTTGATATAATGCCTTCTCAGAGGGACATCATTCTCATTGGTCATGCTGTGATGGTGCAGTGTCAACATTGTTGATCAATTTAGCCAGCGCTTGACAAGTTGGGCCTGTAGAAGACATCCTGTTGAAGGTATCGTGGTGAAGAGGGGATGAGAGATTGGGTGTTAGAGCAAGTAATGATGAACTTACTGTTTTATAGGATGGGACATGTCCAGTCACAGGTCACTGGGAAGAAAAGACAAATCAACAGCCCATGGATGATCAACATCACAGTCATGTTGTTGACTGCAAAGTAAAAAATTTACAGTGGTCAGTCACGTCAAGTCACACTGGTCACTTCAAAGAAAAGTGAATCAACAAACCATACACAGTCACATTGAGTCACATTGCCTTCAAAGGCTCATTTTCATGTCTAATTGCATATGTCAGCCAGTCTTGATCACAATCAGGTGAAATGTTACTCACTCAGCATTGTTGGCTCATCCAGGCTCAATGGTGTCCAGCTTGCCCATGTCTCACTGCAATTTCATCCTGCAATTTCATCTGAATTCAAATCACAATTAGTCAAAATGTCACTCACTTGGCTTTGTTGGCTCATTGCTACCTTGCTCACTCATGTCGTACCACTGCCATTTTTGCCTCAAAGGCTTCAAAAGTTCTTGAGCTGTTAGTATTCACATTGTGAATGCACCAACCTGCAAGCGCCATATGGAAGAGGTCCATGAACATATTGAGGTCCAAGAAGAGGCACCTGGTGATCAACCTGATGATGACATCCATATGGATGTCGACAACCTACCATTTGTATTCCACGATGATGTGGATGTCATTCCAAACAAGCCACCAGGTTCACCTATACACAATCATGGGGTCCAGGCTGAAGAAGTCAAAGATGAGGAAAGAGTTTGGACATGATTTATCCAGACATACCCTGGACAAGTAGCACAGTCACTTGGACAAGCCAAAACCTTATTTGATAGCATTAGGGTGGAACAAGAAGCACTAGGTCTTGATCCATGGGCACCTTTTGCAGGTGAAGAGGAATGGAGACTGGTGAAGTGGTTGATAGCTAGGGTAGGCCAGACTGCAATTGACAAGTTTATGAAACTGCCCATTGTGAGCCATCTATATATGCACATTGATACAACACTTAATTTGAATATTGACAGACTGGCCACATGAAGATGTCTTTTACCAGTAAATACATGCTGATGAAGGCCATCAATAACCTGCCTCATGGGACAGAATGGCAACTCAAGAGCATACATGTTAATGGAAACTTGCACAGCACAAATGGGCAGCCTGAGTGTGAAGATCTTGAACTATGGATGAGGAACCCTGTTGACTGTATACATGAACTTATGGCCAACCCTGAGTTTGATGGCAAAGTCTAATACTCACCTGAGAGGGTTTTTTTGGATGTTGAGGGTAAAGTTTGTCAATATGATGAAATGTAGACTGGAGAATGGTGGTGGGAGACGCAGGTAAGTGGCTTGGGCATCTAAACCAAACAGAGAAACTTACTGAATTGATTTGATCAGCAATGATTACCTGCAGGGGCAGTAGTTGCACCAGTCATCCTCACATCAGATAAAACCTCATTGTCACAATTCCATGGTGATCAAGAGGTGTGGCCTGTCTATTTGACCCTTGGCAACATTTCCAAGGATGTTTGTCATCAACCATCAAAACACACTGCAGTACTGATTGCTTACTTACCTGTGATGAAGTTGGAGTGCTTCTCCTGAGAAACTTGTTTGCTGGAATGCTACCATCTGTTCCATTACTGTATGTCCTAAATCTTGGAGCCACTTGTCAGTGCTAGCAATGATGGCATTGATGTCACTTGCCCTGATCACCAAGTGCATAGGATGCATCCCATCATTGCAGCATACAGTGGCTCAAAAAACTGTCCACATGTTTCTGCATTTTTTACTATTTACAATATTGTGTGAGAATACATAAAGACCTCAGTGACATGCTAATACCATATTGTAGTGCTGCTTCAGGGCTTTGGATTGAGCACCACATTGTGAGAATCAGAGGAGATATGGTGGAGATACAAGGCTTACAAAATCATGACTCATGCAGACCGTTTTTTGAGCACATATTAAAACTATATAAATCATCATTTATGACACCATAACAATCATGCCACCATTAAATAAATTATAAAGTGGTGTCATTATGTCATTTTAAAACCATATCTAACTATACAAACCAAAAATTTCCATATGTCATGGTTATATTCACCATGAAAGCCACCCCCCCTGTTCAAAGGGATAATATCCTCTCTCTTTCCTATTCTGGCCTCTCTGCTTGTCAAATTTCCTCTAGAACTGGAGTATCCAAGTCCACTGTGGCCAAGTTCATCAAAGAAAGTCACACAGACAAGGAAAACTTCTGTGAAGGGTGTCCATCCAAGCTCACCTCTACTGATAGGAGGGCTATTATTCAACATATCACTACAGGAAAGGCTGATAATGCTGTCCAGGTCACCTATTACATCAATTCCACCATCACATTCCCTGTCTCTTCACACACTGTGAGAAACATTCTCAAGACAGCTCATCTCAGGTCAGTAACAAGGAAGAAAAGGTTCTCCTCTCTATCACACATATGCAGAGATGACTAACCTTTGCCTTAGCCCATCAGAATTGGATTACATGGACTGGAAGCATGTTATATGATCATATAAGACCACAATAAATAGGATTGGGTCAGATGGCAAGGTATATATGTGAAAAAAGAAGGGTGCTAGTCCTCTCTGCATATGTGTGATAGAGAAGAGAGCCTTTTCTTCCTTGTTACTGACCTGAGATGAGCTGTCTTGAGAATGTTTCTCACAGTGTGTGAAGAGACAGGGAATGTGATGGTGGAATTGATGTAATAGGTGGCCTGGACAGCATTATCAGCCTTTCCTGTAGTGATATGTTGAATAATAGCCCTCCTATCAGTAGAGGTGAGCTTAGATGGACACCCTTCACAGAAGTTTTCCTTGTCTGTGTGACTTTCTTTGATGAACTTGGCCACAGTGGACTTGGATACTCCAGTTCTAGAGGAAATTTGACAAGCAGAGAGGCCAGAATAGGAAAGAGAGAGGATATTATCCCTTTGAACAGGGGGGGTGGCTTTCATGGTGAATATAACCATGACATATGGAAATTTTTGGTTTGTATAGTTAGATATGGTTTTAAAATGACATAATGACACCACTTTATAATTTATTTAATGGTGGCATGATTGTTATGGTGTCATAAATGATGATTTATATAGTTTTAATATGTGCTCAAAAAACTGTCCACATGAGTCATGATTTTGTGAGCCTTGTATCTCCACCGTATCTCCACATATTCCCACGGTGTAGGGCTCAAATGAAAGCCCTGAAGCCATACTACAATGTGGTATAAGCATGTCCTTGAGGCATTTGTTTGTTCTCACACAATATCATAGATAGTGAAAAATGTCAAAACATGCAGACAGTTTTTTGAGCCACTGTAAGTCATCTGAAACTGATATTCAAGCCAGAGACACACTCTCTGTCTTGTCTTACGACCATTGCATTTGCAAGGTCTTGACTATAACTTCAGCTGTCGCTCTTATCAAGCTGCTGTTGTTATGACTATCCTAGTCTGTAACAGATGCACCTCCTGTTGGCACATCTTGGAATCATCTGACTAGTCAGATTCACTGCATGAGAGGACATCAGGGGCAAAATTGGTATCAATCATGGCAATGGCCCCATGATTACCAGTCTCTTCCTCAAATTTGATGGCAGCTTTTCACCTGGATTTAGTTACCTGAGTTGAGTGAGTCCATGTCATTCAGCCTAGTGCAATGCAACACTCACATTTTGACAACAAGAGTGGTGATGTCCATGTTCCTTGCATTCTTTTGCCTTCTCAAGTTTATGTGCACTACTCTGTTCATTGCACTGCTTATGAATATTTCTCTAGTACCCTTTCATGCACTTGGTGATAATGAGCCTGGTAAAAGCTTGGTCCAGTATCTCACCTTGGCCAGATGAATTTGCATGAATTGTCTATCAACTGGTGAGTCGATTTAATATTATTTTCTATATGTGCTCATACCATGTCATCATTCCAAACATGATCCATGACAGCTTGAATGAATGGTGTGTTGACATTTGAGTCAATTTTGCCTAGCCAATTCAGGTACCATACTTTGGGGCTGCCCTCCTTTTGCTCACATGGTTCTCCATTCTCCAAGGGCTTGATTGTTAACAACTCATTAACTCATGTTGCTTTGTTGAGTGATGCTTCTACACCACACAACTGGAAGAAAATTGGGTGAATGATCATCTTTCTATCATTTGTTAGTTTTCATTAATACCTGAACTCTAGTGTCTAGCTAACCTTCAAGACAGGATGCATGTTTGAAATGTTCTTGCCTGTCATGTCCTTTCCTTTATTCAACTGCTCATTTTCAGCCATCTCGACCATCTTCTGCTCGACTGCATCAGGACACTCAAGAACTTTGTTAAGGCAATCATTAATGATCATGTTTTGGCCAGTTTGCTGATTTGAATTTTCCATCAGGTGTTGCATCTGGGATACGATCTGCACCATCATCAAGCTGTTTGTATTTGCAGATTGTTCATGTGGTGAGCCTTGGTTCATGCCATACAAACCTCTGGCAACATTATTCCAAGGCTGATAATCAGCTCTTGAATTAGGACATGATGTGAGCAAGGGTGATTCACCATATGGAAATGGGTGCGTCCCATTGTTGTATGGTGTCCCTGCAGCAAGTATAACACTCAGTGATGTGGTAAGTCACTATATTAGATATAAGTACCTGCAGCAAGTATAACACTGCTGCAGTACAGTCAGTAAAAGTAATGCTATGAATGAATGAATATTTCACCTCAGTGATGTGGTAAGTCACTGAGGTCTACTGAGTGCTAAGCGATAGGTAAAGTTGTAAGTGAACCAAACATATGTAAACTATGGTAATGTCTGACATTTGTCCATTATTCAACAGTCCCTTGGCCAGACAATGATGCTGAACCTGGAGCTCTGTGTCCCTGATGCCCAAACAAATACAGATTATCATTGTTCTTTGTCTTGGGTGAGTACCAGATTTGTCTAGCAGCAGGGCATTAATATTCAAACAGACTTACCATGCCTTGTGGTTTGCGAGTCATGCTCTGTTGTCCCATGCTGAAGAATGGATCCATCCATGGTAGTCCACTGCTGTGATTTTTGAGGGGGGGGGGCTGGAGAGGTGCATCAGGAAATTGCCAAGGTGACGGTTTTTGTAGTTGTAGTTAGTAAGATCAGATCAAAAATTCACGTGATTGTGTGTAATGACAAAAGTAGACAAAATAATATATAAGATAAGCAAATTGGCAGCAAAGGATAAGATATGGCAAAAAATGTATAATTCTGATGAAAATAGGCAAGTGTACCAGCATTGCTCAACTGCATGATCACCTATGGTCACCAGTGACCACTTGGGATCAAGAGGCTTGGCCCTATAGGATGCTTATGTAAGTCCGAAATTTTTTCAAAGTTCAACATTAGTCTTCTTACTAGTTCCTTCTCTCAATGCTACTACCACCACTTAATTACTCTCTGAATCTTGAACTCTTACTCTCTTTGGCCTTCCCTCTTGTTCCCTCCTTTATGGTTCCTCCTCCTTGGTTCCTCCTCCTTCATGGTCCCTCCTCCCTGGTGGCCCCTCCTTGGTTCCTCCTTAGACCCTCCTTCCTGGATCCTCCTTCATGGATCCTCCTTCATGGACCCTACTTCCTGGACCCTCCTTCACAAACCCTCCTTCCTGGACCCTCCTCCCTCTTATACTCATTTTCTGTCTTTTGTCATGTTATATATGTATATATGTACTTACATCTTGTTTGTTTCATTACAAAATGAATTTCTTTTGGAATAAAATGTGTGTACAAAGGTCAAAAAATTAGCTTTTGTTTGAAGCCACCCAACATTATCAAACTTTGTTGTGGCTGCCAAGTGTTGGCAACATTTGCTGGTTTGGTGAGAAATGGCAAGTAATTGCAGGTAGACTATCATGATTGTGCTTTTGGCAGTTTTTATCCAACTTACTCTGGGTATATAAAGCATTTTCTAGTGAACTATCATTTTGATAGATATTATACAAATTTTAAATCAGGTAAAGCTTGACAAAACTTTACCATTTTCATGTCACTTCCCTGATGTGGTAGCAGTGTTGCATATGGTTTGTTTCACTGGTGCTGTTGCCTTTGACTTTCCTAAGCTAACTGGTTGTTAGGATCAGGTAACCCAGCCCCACTGGGGCATCTTTGTGCACTCTGGGGAAAGCTGTACATCACTGTAGAAGGGGAGGGGAACAGTTAGAAGGGCAGGAAGGAGGATCCCATTTTTCTGGGATGTATGGCAGATCCATAGAACCATGTAATCATACTCAAAACAGAGGGGATTTCGCCTTTTTGGACACTCTAACCAGATGTCATATTATTGCTAATCATATACAAACCCAACCAAGGAATAAGACCTCCATAGCCTAAGAAGAGTCTGTACTATGTTCAAATCTGTACTCTGGTTTAGGTATGCAATCTCATGCTTTGTGTACTTTGGCAAGTACATTTTGATTATATATCCATACTACACTTTGTGTTTGTATACAGGCCCTAACCCTACCCTTTCCACATGCAGTTTATTTTCTCATTTCCCCAGTGATTGCTCCACCTGTGTGTCACCTTAAATGTTACTTATTAGTAAGAGTGATGTGATGTGATGTTCATTACTAACTAGGGGGGGAATCTTAAGCTGCAGTACTTCAGCAATTGTGTCATATCCACATATCCGGATCTCAGATCTGACCCTTATCTCATCTCAGATCCACATCTTATCTCCAATGCTATCCACATCTTATCCCCCTCCAACATCTCATCATTCAATCTGTCCACTTGTCTGGTCTGGTCCACAACTCATCCGAATCCACAACCAGTGCTCATCTCTTTTCGGTAACCCCCTAACTCTGGTATTTCAGTTATCTGTATATCTGTCCTGCTCCCTTATCCGCTACCTATGTTTCATTTCCATTTCATGATTTGTGATCCGTTTCTACTTACCAATAGACTATCCACATGCTTCGTACATAGCCCTGGACTCTGCTGATTGATCATTCTGTTAGATACCTATAGTATATAACCTCCTGTAACTTTCTGTAGTACCTCAGTTCGAATATCATCTTAGTTCTACTCATTTCTGTCCTCTGGACTTGAGTACCTCTACTCTCGTCACCCTCTGAGACTTAGGATTGATTCCTATAGTCTATCCGTATCCGCCTCTGTCTCCAACAGTCCACTACTGTTAGTTTCTAGTCTGGACTCGTCCAGATTAGCCATACGATACTTATCCCTCATCCAGAAGTCATCCGGATCCATTATGCTACTCATCTGACCTTCCGGACGCGCTAGTCTTGCCTTCCTGAAATAAGGGGCAATACTTGGGTAAGGGGCACAGCACACAAGCTGAGGCCGAAGCCCTTCAGATCCAGTTACCCTTTGAGTATGACCTTAACAAATTGCTGCAGCACTCAGCACTGACTTGGGAAGAATTTCTAGCTAAATAGATAAGATATAATCAGTAGATGCAATAAGCCATCTTATCTACTTACATCAGGTGCCTCTAATGTTAAATCAGGTGATGGTGCTACTTTCCTGGGCATCTCATTGTTTCCCATGATGACTGAACCTTTGAGCTTGTTGTTGCACATGATGATGACAAAATGCACTTCAAATCTCATTATTTTAGAGTGCTCTTTTTCAGTTCCTCAGTCTATTATTGCTCAAGTAGCCCTGGTAACATGGGTGTCTCTTTCTGCTACACTTGGATTACTAATACAAAGATTTTAGGGTGGCTGACTCTTGCCATCAACAACCACACTGTTTACCCTGGACTACCCCACTTACTTGTGCAGCAACATCTGAGTAGGGTGAGGTGATTGATCAGTAGAGATGTTGATATCAGGGAGCTGAACATGTAAGCAAATGTGCCCTCTGTTTGACACTTACCACCTTGCAGAAGTGCCATGGGATGCTCTGGCAAATGAATGTCGACATCCTCCAGGGTGAGGATGTCAGTCCTCCATAGCTCACATTCCATCCTACAACTACTGCTTTCTTGACTTGAATCCAATGTGAACAACTGGACGAGGAACAACAGTAAGCAGAATCCATAAGATGTGAGTTGATTTCATTTTCTTTCTTTTGTTTGTATGCTTACACCAGTGAAGAAAATACCCAACAAGTGCATGTGCTCTTAGCTGATGCCCAGCTTGAGGTTGGACCAGATCACCATGACAGCACACAGTATGACTTTTCTTCCATGGATTTTGAGGATGACAGCACAGATGCCAAGGCAACTGAAGGAGATACTATCAGTGGGCTGCTATTCTCTGAGTTTTATTGCACTTGCACTGCACAAAGGTATGTCTGAACAAATGTTTTTGTGCACTCTCTTATTACATTGGTACTAGAGGAACTACCTACCATCAATGACACAACAAGTGAACACATGCACAACACAATCTCCATGCACACATTGTGTGGACAGAGCAGATGCCTGTCCTCACTGACACCTATCTACACTGGAAGTATGGGCCTGAATCACAAGATCTCGACCATAGTTCTGGGCACTCATTTAGCATCTGCAGTGTTGGTATCATGGGTATGTCATTATCAGTCTCTTTGTGATCTCCCTTATTGACACATTTTAAATAGACTTTTCACATAATACAATGGTTCACCAACAGCTCAATGAACCAGGGAATGCCACACTCCTGCGCCATGGTCTCCTTGGTTGTTCACCCATCTAACCAATAGTCGCTATATGCCTTGAGTGTTTAGAGCTCTACCATCAAATTCACCAGCACCAGTCCTCATTCAGCATCCAGTCCATCATGAGAGTCTTGTGTGCACTTCACAATGTAAGCTAATTATATAAATCTCCATGTCATTTACAACTGCCTGCAGGTAACATATAGCCACACATTTCAGAGTCAGTTTACCATAGTGTTTGACATCTATCTTCAAATCCAGTGGTCTATTCAACAATGCATCAACCTCACACTCAACAGGAATCCAGAACTCTAACCCATGTGCTGATCATTCTCAGCAACCAAACGAACCAAACCTTGTCCCATGGTGATTACATAGCATGGATGGCAATCACTCTGCAAAGCACATTGATGGCTCTGGCTCAGCAGATCCATGAATTTTCCAGAGCAATTATTTCATTACTAATGATATTGTTGAACAATTCAGGGATGACATTAGGAACTGTCCTGGTGAATGAAATACCATTCCAAATCCCAGCTGCACAGACAATTGGACTGCTGCAAAGAGTTACAAAGAGGACAAGATTTCTGTCTTTGAGCAAACAGGTATATTTCTCATGGCCTGTCACCATGGTTTTGTAAAGTGTATCATTAAAATGAAGTGCAGTGGCAAGTTGTAAGTAATTGTGTATTCAGGCCATTTTTAATTTAATAAAACATCACATTAGGGCAAAGTATGGCCTTGCTGCAATTAATCGGATGCTTGATGTCTGTGGGAAAGACCAAGCTCTTGGCTATGACATTGGCTGTTCATCATGCAAGACAGTTGCCACCAGCTCCATTGCCACCAAGGCAAATGCTACTAACCTTGTTATTGTGGTCAATGCATTCCATGGGTATGCTCACAACCGTCAATGTCAACTTGCAAACCATCTGTTGTATCTCAATGGCTTTGGGATTGAAGACTTGGAGACATGTGAGCAGATCTTCTCAAGTTCCAATAGTGTCGCTTCACTCATTCGTCATGCATCATATGTATTTCCATTGGGTCCAATTCCTTGACCTTCACTTTGACCAGTGGGATAAGGACAAGTACCTGGAGCTAAGTGCATTTTTCTTGTCTGAATGCATCTTTCTTCTGACTTACAATTTAGGTCATTTCCTGCATAACAACTATATTCAAGCACTTCATACAATCAATGACTTCACCCTGCCACTGGATGACATCAAATTATGCAAATCATTAACAGATGAAGACTTCGTTGAATGGAAGCACAAGGAATCAGAGTTTCTTGCTAACCTTTCCCATGAGTCACCAGCTGACATGTTCGCAGTGACATATGTGGAAGAAATGGAAAAACTTCAATTTCTTGAGTTTTTTTTTTTTAATTCACTTGCCTCCATTCCTGCTAATGTGCTACCTGATTCTAGGGCAAAGTATGGTAGCATTACGAGCATCCCTTTCCTTATGTACATCCCAGCAAACTTTACAGCGTCATCTGGACTCAATGTGCCAATGCAGGAACATTCTAAGGCCACAGAAGCTGAGTGGACCTTGGCATTATGACAACTCCAATTGCAAATGAACATCATTGAAGACTTTGAGCATCATCATGGAATCAGTGAGCACTGGATACCATCAGACCCTCAATATGTGCAAGCACTAGAATACTCCAGTCAACAGCACTTTATTCGTGTAGTTGAGGAACTAGAAGGATTAGTTGTTCAATACCTGTTCAAGTTGTCAAAGGTGAATCTTTCTGGCACAGGTATGATAAATTTTTAATTTAGAAATCAAACTCACAACCAGTGGTCAGGGTACAAGATGCACAAGTACATATCCAAAGCAATCACACAACGATCTTCTGCAATTTGTATGGCACTTGACGGATATAACAAGCTGGCACCTCTGCAAGTCCCACCTCAACCAATCCTTGATTATGCTGAAGTCATAGGATATGCGGCTTTAGGAGAATTCACACTCCTGAAGCATTCACATCATAATTTACTTATGAGGCCATGGGCTACACCAGAAAATTGTGAGATGGCAGCAAAGTATTTCAAAGTCTTATGCTCACATGAAGAGATCACACACTTGAACATTGAGATAGGGAGACTTCATGCTTGGATGGAGTTTGAGGAGAAAAGCATGATCTCTGCAATAGCTGCACTAAACTGCAAAACCTCACCCCTCCTAGCATCTGAGTTGCAGAGGCAATATGCTGCACAATGCCATGTTAACAATATTCACTGTGCCCACCTACAGAGTGTCTGTCTGTTGGATGGTTATACTGGTGTGCTACATTCAACACTTTCATCACAGGAGTTGACAGAGGAGGAAGAGGAGGAAGAAGAGTGTAGCGATGAGGTGCACAAAGAGGCTACAAGACTCACAGATGCTATTACTCATATCATAGTGTAGGGACCGTTGATGTATCTGTCATGCAGAAGAATGGACTTGCCATGCATTGGATCAAATTGCACTGTGACATGACTTGATTGGTATCAAATGCTGCTTCATCAACAGTATTGTTCTCAATTTTAATCAAGTAGATATGCTTATTAGATGTATTAATAGTAGTAGCTACTCGTTGACTTAAAGTAGATTGAAAATGATAGATGTCTTCACTGTTCTGGTTACTGCTCAAGCATCATAACTCATACAAGTTATGATGCTGTGAAGAAGAAATGGGTACTAGGCAGTTAGCAACTAGCACTACTTATCCTAAGAGGCACGAGTTAATTGATCAGCCCGAGAGGACTGCTATTGAAACACTTCCTTCAATTATGTGCAAGGGAAGTAAGTGAGTGAAGGAGTTATAACCTATATTGGCCTAAGAAACTAGAACATGGACCATATGTATACCTTTGAATTTCTATGCCAAAGAATCGACCATGAGCATGGACAAAATCAACCGATGTTAGTATCACAAGAGCAGGATGAACCATTGGAAGATATGTGCAAGCATATTGGATGTCAGATGCTGGTGCAGCAGATGTAATGCACACAAAATCAACCGCGCTCTAGGGAGTGGCCGGTTGCAAGGGATATAGCACAAGTGAAGAACTGTGCTAAACTACCGGTCGCAGGTCGGGTATTCTTGCAAGAGCTTAAGGGTAAGATCCTAGTGGTATGGAACTTCAGAGCAGTTGAATTGCACAGGATTGTCAAGAAAGAGCAAAATAGATGGATTGCACAAGGTCTACAAAAATAATGCAAGAATGACTCTCTTATAGAGCTGAGTCTGGGGGAAAGGGAACTACTCAATTGTATGTACTGTGGTTGTTTATATCGTAGTGCATGAATGTCTGGAATGCATAGGCAAGAATTGTAGCATAGTTAGTGAGTGCATGATGAGTCTATAGGTAATAAGACATCATGTGCTGCAGAATGTGAGTAGACGTGTAATAAGACCTGCAGCTCATTTATGTAGCAATGGCATTTGGGAAAAATAATGCACCAGCAGAGATAGGTGGACATGGATAGGACATGGGAGGGTGGATTCCTAGGACCAGACTGGAGTAAGAGAAGATGGGTCAATATATATGGATTTAATGATCCGTGCTTTATCTCCTCTCCTAAAGGTGAGAAGAACTGTACTATTGATCATACACGCCTAGTGCCAGTATGATCATCACAATGCACTGTGCAAAACACAACTTGGCTAGATAGTTGTTAGAATACCTAGCCAATATATGTCTACTAGTCCTGCCTAGCTGCTACACTTGCAAGCAAGAACATTCAACCCTAAAGGGAATTGCTACTGAGAACAGCTGATGATACTAAAGACCCAAAAGTGCGCAGAGTGCGGGAACAAGTGCACAGGTATGTAGAGTGCAGGAATGCAGAAGTGCAGTCAATGAGTAGTCGATGAGCAGTCGATGCAGAAGTGTGAGATGCTAGGGTAAGGGGTAGGGAAGTCTTAAGGAATGGTGTGGGTAGCAAGTGAGGGCAAGAGTATTGATTGCACAGGTAAGGAAAGTCAAGGTAAGGTGTCCAGGTATAAGGTAACCAATAGGGGCTAAAAAGCGCGCACTAATGGTGACTGCTCCTAAGTAAAACCTAAGGGAAGGAAATACTGTAGAAGGCCCATGAATACAAAGTAGTCACCCTAGGCACTTTATACTAGCTAAACCCTCTCGGAAATGGAAGGGACAGGACAGACAGGCAGTAGGAATATGTAAAGACATGTAATAAGGCTGCAACACTTGTTACAACACACAAGGCAAGGCAAAATATGTACCAATGAGGTAGGATGGACAATGGACTGACATGGGACATCTGTAAGGTAGTCCAAAGGCGCGGGAAATCGACCACAGGTATGCACGCAGCACGGGAGTGAATGCGCGGGTCTGCAGAGCGTGGGAATACGTGTCCAGAGCGGGTTGAGTGCAGGAAAAGCAGTTGATGGTTTTGTAGCTTTCCATCACCTATATCAAAAGATGGCCATTGCAAGCCTAGCGGGAATATGATCATCACAGCACAGTAACAGCAGAATGGTGAAGACATCTATCATTTTCAATCTACTTTAAGTCGATGAGTAGCTACTACTATTAATACATCTAATAAGCATATCTACTTGATTAAAATTGAGAACAATACTGTTGATGAAGCAGCATTTGATACCAATCAAGTCATGTCACAGTGCAATTTGATCCAATCACTTGTGTCAGCTTGATCCATGGAATCATATTGATCACACCTTTCACCAAATCTCATGTTCCAAACCACTCAAGAACCTACTGAAAGTCTGGCACTCACTGACAACATTGCACTTATACTCAGTGACTCAACAGGATGGTGCAGGGTCTCATAATTGGAATGCATACTAGTAATGAAGTTGTAATCACTTAATACTTTGTTCTCAGATCATATTTTCACCTTCAGTTTTAAATGTGTCAAACTCAGTTTCTTTTGACATAAAGCTCTCAAACACTTCACTCTTGTATCAAGGAATGGCACAATCAGAACTTCTCAACAATATCGCTTGTCTCAACTACTTGGACTTGTGCACACAATCTGTAAGATTGCTTGCACGCACATTCAACATCACTAATGCTTTGCCTCCAGAACAACTTTGTAGAAATCAAAATGACAGCTGGATTCAAGTTTATTAGGTATCCTGGTGTGTCCAATCCAACTCCTACTGTTAAGAACCATGTTGCTCAAGGGAGAGAGAGACTGACTCAGAGGGGCTTGGCCTCAGCTCATATGCTGTGCCCCTTACCTGAGTATGGGCCCTTCATTTCATATGAGGTCCAATGATGGTCTGACGAAGTCTGGAGGACTTCTGGAGGCTGGCTACTCTGGTGGAGAGTGCTAGAGAACTTCCAGAGGAGCGCAGGAAATGTCTGGAGGAGTACAGGAGAGTTCCAGAGGAATGCAGGAAGTGCTCAGGAGAGTTCCCACTGCAAGGTAATACTTCTACAGGAAACAGGATGGAAGGATAGGAGGTCCAGAGGACAGGAGAGCAGGAGGACAGGAGGACAGGAGGATAGAAGGATAGAAGGACAGGAGGATGGGACATCTGAAGGTATGGAGGGCAGGATCCCCAAAGGACAGGATGTCCAGAGGTATGGAGGGTGGGATGTCTGAAGGACAGGACACCTGGAGGTCCAGAAGGAATAGGGGCTACATCAGACAAAGTCCGATGTAGAAACAAACAGAGGTAGTCTACCCTAAGATAGAGTCAGAGGGACAGGGATTGGACCTAAGTCTGGAAAGAGGGTAAGTGCTGGAAAGGCAAAGCTCCAGCCTAGGGAATCAATACCTAGGCCTGATGAGTAGGACAGACTTAGGTGGACCAAAGTCTGAGAGAGGATTGGGCAAGTCTAAGTTGATATTCAAACTAAGGAAACTACAGGAGTATCTACAGGGGTTATATACTGGACAATATCTGAGGTGATCAGTAAGCAAAGGAGCAAGGCTATGTATGAGCATGTGGAAACATATTAGTAAGTAAGATGGAACATAAGTAAATGAATTCAGAGATGAAGACTCATACAAGGATCAATAAGCAAGATGGAACAAGAGGTAACCAAAAGCCAGAAAGGCAGAGATGCCTAAATGGGGATAGGCACAGGATCTTGGACAGAGGGTGGGAATAGGTCCAGAGTTAATATCCAGAGGTCTGGAGATCTGGGGATCCAGAAGACAAGGTGGATACAGGACCAGGATATGAGGAGGTGGATATAGTCTGGAATCCGAGACAAGGTGAAGTCCGGATGTCTTGCTGGATGGAGTGTGCATAGGGTGGATGGGACAGGGGGGTATGGATCAGGCTAGCAGTGGAGATGCAATGGTCCAGAGCCCAGGGGTAAATCTGGAGCATAGTCAATCCTGCTGAGGTGTGGAGCACACAGTGGAAGGGGATCTGGGAATGAGTTGGATATGAAGTGGGGTCTGGACATAGGCTCGGAAGGCATGTGAATATGATGGAACATGGGTCCGGATTGTGGGATATGACACCTACTTTCACAACTGCACTCGACACATCAGAGCTCATCAAGAACAAAGATGAGAAACAAGTTGTCAAAGCAATCTATTCTATATTCTCAGAGTCCTTTGTGTGCATGGTTCATCAGTGCAGGTTTAAGTGGGAGAGGGTGCATCTTCCTGAGTCCATGCTTGAATGTAAGGCCATGAATTCTCTTTGTTGTATGCTAATGACAGTATATGATGCAGCTTTAAATAAAATTGAACCCATTGGCAAGCCCTCAGCCAAAGATCTTGCTGGCTCCTCATATATCTTCCCCAATCCTCTGCACTCTACTGTGAATATGCAAACTAGCAACTCCTCCATGTGTCTATCCACCTGGTTTAAAGACTGGTGTGATTCCATCACCTCTGATGGCCTGTCAATGCATCTCTCTACCATGACATTTGCTAGCACCACTTGTTCTTCTTTACATTTGCACTCTGATGATGACGATAACAACACTGCTGAGCTCACTCTTTTGTCCAAGCCAGTTGTACATGACACATGCAACATCCACATTCTAAACCCTGTCAAGTCAGAGGTTCACATCCCTAGCCCTGCACCACTCACTGGCCCTACTCAGTGCAAGTATCCACCATTCAAATCCAAAGCACCAAGCCCTCCGCCATTCATAATCTCACCCCACTCACCTCCATTGAAATATCCTGCATCCTTGCATACTCCACTAGCACCTATCTCACCCACTCCATCATCTCAACAAGGCAAGATTCCATCAAGGCTTCCCAGCCCTCCACCATTTGTAATCTCACCCCGCTCACCTCCATTGAAATATCCTGCATCTTTGTATACTCTACTACCGCCTGTCTCACCTACTGCCTTATCTCAACAAGGCAAGATTCTGTCAAGGCTTCCCAGCCCTCCACCATTCATAATCTCACCCAACTTGCCTCCATTAAAATATTCTGTCTCTTTGTGTCCTCTGCCATCATTGACGTCACAATCTCTACAATGCCCATCTCCTTTGAAGAAAAAGACTTCTTCAGGCCACTCCATCCCAGAATCCAAAGCTGTGTCTGTGCCCTCCAGTTGTGATTTCCAACTATCACCTAGCACACCACATGGAGTTGATGGTTCTTCAGATCCCCAGTTACCATCTAGTGACTCTGTAAGTCATGCCCATTTTTTCTTACAGCTATACTAACCAGAATTAGGGACTTAATGCAAAAAAACACCACTCAAATCCTGTGCAGATCCAGATGTCATTGAAAGGCAAAGAAGATAACTTCTCTATCACTAACAATATTTACTTAATGACAGCCAAAATGCACCTTCCAATTCCCTGTGATACAGGAGTTGTCAAAATCTCTGACAACATCACAAGGGTCCTTCAGAATGTTCATCTTCATCACACTGCAATGGACAAGATATGGAAGTGCATTTACCAGGTTGACAGCTACTGTCCCTTGTGCTGGCAGGCTATCCTTATGAAGTTGGAGATTCTGGAGGATTGTGTCAGCCTGCTGCTGCAAGTGATGGCATGTGCCTTAAATGATCATCAATTCAGTACATGTTTACATTGCATTTTTAGTGTGGCCATTGCTAATGATACATCTCTCAGTTGAATAGTCATAGATTACTATTTTGTTTGTAGTTCTGTTGGAATTAATAGTGCATTGTTCACTTGCTGACCTCGACCAAACTTAATTTCCTGATTCTCCTGATTCTCCCATGTATATAACTTATGACCATGTTTTTATTAGTTCAACTCACCATGGTCCAAGCTCAAGCTCAGCACTCATGTGCAAAGCTCACAGCTGTGCAAAAACAAGAATGGCACAGATGGCAGGAAGCATTAACTGATGCTATTGACACTGCTAAGTCAGTGTATGTCCAGGAAGCTGCTTACATTGCAGAGACACATGGACAGTGCATATTTTCTCTCTTTCTCTCTGGTTTATTCAAGCTAACCTACTGTCTTTGTTAGATCTCTCAAATGGATGCACAATCAGTTGTTTCTGAGGAGCTGTATGCTATGTCAACAATGTGGAGTCAATTCTTGGAATGCCTTCATTTGAGCCAAGCACAAAGAAGCAAATGAAGGTATGAGTTTATTTATTTTCTACTGAACTATTACTGACTGAGATCTAGACCTTGAAAAGGGTGAACGGATCAAACTCACTCAGTTCATTGCAGACAACAAGACCAAGCTTGTCCATGCCCATTCAAAGCTTACATTCGCAGAAAAAAGAGCCTACAATATGCAGGTCCTTGAAGCCCATCAGCAGAGAAATCAAATCACACATGCAAATCCAAAGGCTACTAGCCATGATGTCAATGCAACCTTTACTTCTATGGATTGTGAAGTACAGTGGCTCAAAAAACTGTCCACATGTTTTTGCATTTTTTACTATTTACAATATTGTGTGAGAATACACAAAGACCTCAGTGACATGCTGATATCATATTGTAGTGCTGCTTCAGGGCTTTAGATTGAGCACCACATTGTGAGAATCAGAGGAGATATGGTGGAGATACAAGGCTTACAAAATCATGACTCATGTGGACAGTTTTTTGAGCACATATTAAAACTATATAAATCATCATTTATGACACCATAACAATCATGCCACCATTAAATAAATTATAAAGTGGTGTCATTATGTCATTTTAAAACCATATCTAACTATACAAATTAAAAATCTCCATATGTCATGGTTATATTCACCATGAAAGCCACCCCCCCTGCTCAAAGGGATAATATCCTCTCTCTTTCCTATTCTGGCCTCTCTGCTTGTCAAATTTCCTCTAGAACTGGAGTATCCAAGTCCACTGTGGCCAAGTTCATCAAAGAAAGTCACACAGACAAGGAAAACTTCTGTGAAGGGTGTCCATCTAAGCTCACCTCTACTGATAGGAGGGCTATTATTCAACATATCACTACAGGAAAGGCTGATAATGCTGTCCAGGCCACCTATTACATCAATTCCACCATCACATTCCCTGTCTCTTCACACACTGTGAGAAACATTCTCAAGACAGCTCATCTCAGGTCAGTAACAAGGAAGAAAAGGTTCTCCTCTCTATCACACATATGCAGAGATGACTAACCTTTGCCTTAGCCCATCAGAATTGGATTATATGGACTGGAAGCATGTTATATGATCATATAAGACCACAATAAATAGGATTGGGTCAGATGGCAAGGTATATATGTGAAAAAAGAAGGGTGCTAGTCCTCTCTGCATATGTGTGATAGAGAGGAGAGCCTTTTCTTCCTTGTTACTGACCTGAGATGAGCTGTCTTGAGAATGTTTCTCACAGTGTGTGAAGAGACAGGGAATGTGATGGTGGAATTGATGTAATAGGTGGCCTGGACAGCATTATCAGCCTTTCCTGTAGTGATATGTTGAATAATAGCCCTCCTATCAGTAGAGGTGAGCTTAGATGGACACCCTTCACAGAAGTTTTCCTTGTCTGTGTGACTTTCTTTGATGAACTTGGCCACAGTGGACTTGGATACTCCAGTTCTAGAGGAAATTTGACAAGCAGAGAGGCCAGAATAGGAAAGAGAGAGGATATTATCCCTTTGAGCAGGGGGGGTGGCTTTCATGGTGAATATAACCATGACATATGGAGATTTTTAATTTGTATAGTTAGATATGGTTTTAAAATGACATAATGACACCACTTTATAATTTATTTAATGGTGGCATGATTGTTATGGTGTCATAAATGATGATTTATATAGTTTTAATATGTGCTCAAAAAACTGTCCACATGAGTCATGATTTTGTAAGCCTTGTATCTCCACCATATCTCCTCTGATTCTCACAATGTGGTGCTCAATCTAAAGCCCTGAAGCAGCACTACAATATGATATCAGCATGTCACTGAGGTCTTTGTGTATTCTCACACAATATTGTAAATAGTAAAAAATGCAAAAACATGTGGACAGTTTTTTGAGCCACTGTAAGTTTTCACACATTGTTTATTTACAAAGCTAATTTTGTTACTAGTGGATGGCTCTTTGCACTTGTACTGGCATAGAGGGTTTCTATGTAGCAGTTCAAGGCGGTATTGAAGATCTTTCTGAACCCAAAGTTTTTTTCACTCAGAAGGCCAAAAAGTTTGTCAAGGATATCCTCAATGTGGAGCCACATCACCTTGGCTTAAAACTGTCATATGCCATTCCAGACTCTCAACTCTAAATCCGCTTCTCTGGATATCCAGATCCAAGATCCAGATCTCAAATGATCTGATCTATCTTTATCTTCCTTCCAGAATCCAAACCCTATATCAGCGCCCAACCCCATTTAGACTTCCCCTGTCTCCGGACTCTGATTAACTATGTTTCCCTTCTGATTATTGATCCATTACATATATTTCATTTCCGGTGTTCATTATTTGTGATCCATCCTACTTACTAATAGACTTTGCATATGCTTCATACATAGCCTTTATGTTTGCTGATTGATTCCTATATGATACCTACAGTATATAAACCTCCTGTAACTCTCAGAAATACTCCAGTTCGAATATCATCTTAGTTCCTGCTCATTCCTGTGTCCTCCAGACTCGAGATAAGTCTCTTGTCATATTCTGAGTCTTAGGATTGCATCCTAGGCTACATTTCCGACTCTACCTTAAGGTAGTCTATCCTCTGTTAGTTTCTAGTCTGGACTTCATCTGGATTAGTCTTATCCACTTGTCCAAGTAACATCTGGATGTCTGTCAGATTTATCTCATGTTTCAGATCCGGACATCCATTGTCCACCCTAGTCAAATCCTGGAAACTCCGGATGACTGTTCTAGCCCCTGGAAATTAAGGGCACATACTTGGGAAAGGGGCACAGTGTATGAGCTGAGGCCAAGCCCTTGTGATCCGACCCCCTTGAGCACACAACCTTAACAAAAACTCAAGTCTTTCATTGTGAGTGGCCTCAGTAACTCTTATTTTTATTTGGTTGTTCCTCAAGCTAATGTCTCATGCAGATCAACATACTGCTCATTGTCAACATCCTCTGAACAAACTGATCAGTGAATGCCGCACCTTCATCCAGGAAGGACTTGGTGCATTTTCTCAGCTCAATTCATTAAACATACTAATCTCCTACTCAGATTCAATTGCCCTTGAAAACAACATCCAACATCCCATCATGATGAACTTCACTAACTATGAGCAAAAGATGGTTGAATGCTGCAGCTTCGCACTCATCGGCTGGCCTGTGCCTGGGCCAGTTTGAAATCCCTCAAAGGTTGGTGGAAGATCCAGAGTGAACAAATTGTTGGACACATTTCAGGATGGAACCTGCCACTGGGTGAAGTTAACTGACGAAGAACTTTTAGTGAGAATGAAGGATAATAGGGCTCATGCTGCCAGAGGAGAGCCAGTTTATGTGCTGAGGAAGGGAAGGAATAGAGCCCCCTTGAAGCAGAGGGGCATGGATGTTGTTGTGTCCTCTGACAGAAGCTCTAGCTCTAGTGATGGAAGCTCTAGTGACTTGGATGATTGTTAGTAGCACACAGTAGACTTAGATCTTTTTTGTTTTTGTGCAATGCAATGGTACTTAAATATATCATTTTGTCAGGGTTTGTGGATTGCATGTAGGTAAAAATATATCTAATAAATATCCAGGGATGATATGTATAGGGGACCAAAAAAGAGCACTCTAAAATAATGAGATTTGAGGTGTATTTCGTGGTCGTCGTGTGCAACGACGAGCTCGAAGGTTCAGTCGTCGTGGGAAACAACGAGATGCCCGGGAAAGTAGCGCCGTCACCTGATTTAACGTTAGAGGTACCTGATGTAAGCAGATAAGATGGCTTATCGTATCTACTGATTATATCTTATCTATTTAGCTAGAAATTCTTCCTAAGTCAGTGCTGAGTGCTGCGGCAATCGCTGAAGTACTGCAGCTTAAGATTCCCCCCCTAGTTAGTAATGAACATCACATCACATCACTCTTACTAATAAGTAATGTTTAAGGTGACACACAGGTGGATTGCTCTCCAGATAAATTTTTGGACGTGCTATCCCGTACGACTTTGAAGTTTGAACCAAGTCGGGACTAAAGCACAAAAATCCAGCGCTGGTGATGGCTCGCTGAAGTAGTAACCGCAAAGGTAGTAGCTGGTAATGAGTAAACCTGTTATCCGAATTCAACAGTAACGAACATGTTCAAAGTTTGGCATTCACTTATTGCGGGGCCTTATGGGGCCTTCGGATGAGAGACAGTGGAGAGGTGCGAAACTTCACAGCTAAAATTTGTTCCCACAATTATTCGGTAGCCTAACCTAGTACTAGTTTGTTACATGACAGTCAAAGCGAGTACAACGCGATGGGCC